CACAAATACTTACCTAACACTATGCAACAACTTTTACCCACTAAAACATATACCCGTTAATTTTTGGTTGGAAGATTTTTAAACTTGACCAAATCCAGCCAACCAAACCCACCCCCCCCTGCTGCTCTCAGCAGAGACAAACCCTCGTCTTTTCACCCACAAATCAAGAGTTTAGGACACAAAAAACGAGGTCCTTGTTAAGCGGTATTTCTTGTTAGCTAACAGAGAGCGAAATCAGCCACACGAACACGCAAAAAGCGATCCTCTTAATGGCAGAGAGACCTGAAATGTGCCGGCATACTTTTTGCTAGTTCATGATGGCCATTCCCCCCCCTCGTTCTAGGTTAGCTACGCAAGAATACGCGTTAGTATCCACCAGGCTCGCCAAACTGTCTTGGAAATTCGCTTTAAACGAATTTCTCCTTACCGTGAGTACTCGCAGTTGGATGTGCAGAAATCCCCCATAAAGCTGTGCGAATCTCGCTTACCACGACTGCAGCCAAACTACACGATTCCTGCCCATCCAAATACTTTGGTTCTGTTGAATTTGTGGGTGATGGAGCTCCGTTACCCTGGAATGATCACACGACACTCTAAGGCTGGTTGCAATCCACATAAGGGCCGGCTTTAGGCTCAGCTCTCTGTTTTTATTAAAAATACACACATGCCCCCCACATGAATAAAGTCAATCCCTCCCACCGAACAATACAATGGGGATTGCCTATACAGAGGATATACATTCCAATTGGAGCATAGCCTTTGCTATTATCTATCACTGGTCCTCCCCCATGAACCTTCTGAGGTCAGCAGACTTCCTCCCCTTCCCCCCTATGAGCCATCTGAGGTCATATTTCCTGTCCTACTAGCTTCTATTGGTATGTAAAAATTCTCTGCACAAGCACTCTTTAAAAATATCAGTCTGTACCTGGATGGGCCCGATACGATCTTTATTAAAACACATCCATCCAAGATACAGTTTCAAGTTGGTAATGGGTTGTAAGATATGCATAAGCCTACACGTGGAGTTCACACCGCTTGCGCATTGCGTTATGAAGCCCACGTGGTACCATGCTGCTGATATGTGGATACAGGCCCACGGTCTACTGACAGCAGCATTCGCATGGAATGCCGTGGTGGTATACACGCCGGTCTATAAGCGCAGATCTGCCATCTCATCCATTACCAAGCCGAGTACTGTAATACATACATTGTACATGCGCATGGCCCAATTGCAGCCTTCAGAGCTTTAATTAAGCCACACGAGAGACATATGAATAACACGAATACATGACACATTTAAAGTTCGACCAACAATACAAAATTTCCATGACAGGGTCCAGCGTTAGTGAAAAGGACTAATGTTCTACCTGCGCCTGCTACAGTTCTTGAAAAGACTGATCAAAACAAGAAAATTGAGGACCCAAATCGGCAATACCCAATACATAACAAACCACAGGCCCTACACTACATAGTTGAAGGTAAATCTAAAGGAAATTGGGCAGAAATTGGACAAAAAATTGTAAGAAAATTATATAGTGAATGGCCAGCTTAAGTGTAACTACATTAAGACAAAAAAAAAGGTTAGGCTGTCCATGCAGCAGTGAGATGAAAATACAGGTGTGTACCTCAGTTTACGAACGCCTCGGTTAACATAATTTTCAGTTTACGAATGAAAATCCATTGAAAAGAATGCCTGGGTTTACACTATTTTTTCGCAATACAAATGGATTAATTGGTTTTCAAATGCATTTACAATTTTTTTTGTAATCATGTCCCTGTACAGTATTCATGCCTTTAAAGTTCAATTTATAAAGAGTTTTGAACAGATAAGACTTTTTTTTTACATTTTTCTGACCTCCGGAATGTATTAATTGTTTTTCAATGCATTACTACGGGAAACCGTGTTTCGGTTTACAAATTTTTCGCAATACGAAAAGTCCCACAGAAGGCATTAAATTTGTAAACTGAGGTACACCTCTGTATAATTATATTGGGGGTTAACCACCCGAAAAATCTAAATCGAGAAAACAAAAAGAATAAAAGGGGTATTCTAGGGTGAGCCACATATATACGGTATATACATAGGTAATTCAATACAGAAAAGAGATATAGTCAATATATTAACTGGCCCATGAGCAGAAATGATGAAAAAACAGCACAGAAGAAAAAAAATTCAGAACACTTACAAAACCAAAATAGGATGTGCCAGGGTGTAATCACTTCCATCTGGGCTGTAGGAAGGCATATAACAGACACCTTTGATGAGCAGAGATTGGAACAAACTCACCAATCCTCTAAAACCAAACAATCAATAAACTCGTAGAGAGTATCAACAGGTGGGATAAGACCATCCAACAAGTCACCCCCCCACTATTTTAAATATATATTAGTTTCAGTCCAAATCCATAATATACTCACTGCACCATCAAATGTAGCTCAAAGCAAATATCCAAAGGTCGGTGGCATCCAAATCAATAATATCGTGGTACATTTCCACCTATCATAGAGTAGAAGGGGTACATCGGGTGAAATACAGAGTAATGATATGGGAAGGCGTAATCTAACATCATGGAGAGACGTCTGTTCCTTTTATATATATATAGATATAGATATAGATATATGTATCAAACTGACCTCTCTGAAAAGATCAAACAAAATAAAAAACGAATACTAAATTGTCACGTATCACTAGATGGATAAACCATAACCCAATGAAGATATATTATGCCAATGTGATCTGTTTCATCTACCGATCATGATGTAATGCACCATTTAGGACCAACCAGTACCTTGATGCATTTCAATCAAGTGCTAATTATTACTCGTGAGCTAATATGGTGAATTTCAAATAAATTATAAAAAATAAAAATTATATCATGACCAACCAGTACCTTGATGCATATGCTGCCAGAGATGGAAAGAAAGAAGTCCAATCCAATAGTCTATTTTATAATTCCTTGGCTTTCCAAGAATCCTTCCATAATTATCCACATCAGAGCGTCTATCAGTAAAATATTGCATTGTCACTGAGAGGTCAGAAGAGGGGCGGTCCTTTCCCCCCCATGGAGGGCTCATTCACACATGTTACAGATAAGCCTAATTATATAAATTACCATCAAAGGGACACCAAGCCTGTCTTTTCCAATCCCTGAGACCAGGTAGACGAAAATTAATCTAAATTATAAGATGGCCGCCACACTGGAAATGACATCATCGCACACATGCGTGATGGCGTCACGACACAAATGTGTGGTGACGTAATGGTGAACATGGTTCGGTGAATGTTCCGGTGTTGCAGCCAAATGCCATTCCACAACCATTCTAAGCTCCACCTAGAAGGCAATTCTTGCCGCCAAAAATATCACTCACAAGCATAAAAATAACACAGGTTCATCAAAAAACCTTTCCATCCAACCAGCATCTCCCTCCACCAAAGCCGCTGGGGCGGGTATGTGAGGTGAGAGGATCAACATCTTACCCTGGCCACTACGCCATCACTTCCAGTGCGCCGTTTGGCGTCACTTCCAGCTGCATCCCCTTGGACAATTTTTTTTTGTGCTACTACAAATCATAGTTTTTTCAGGGTTATGTTTTATTTTACATATTTTACATGGAGAGGGGTCTGGCTGGATTTGGCCAGGTGTACCTTTCTCCTTTCAGGAGGTTTGTACGCTGGAGGGTCAAGGAGGAATTCCTTTTTCTTTGGGAGAAGGACCAGAAATACACCCAGTGCACCTTTTTTGTACTCACAAGCACTTTTTTGTGCAAAGCATTTATAAAGCTTTCAGCAAACTTTGAGCAATTTTATTGAAGCCTATAATGAAAACTTCACTTCCACTGTGGGGGTGTTCAAAATAAATCTTAATTGGGACCTTGTCATTTTAAACAAGCAGCTAGCAGGATTCAAGTAGTTCAACAGTACAGACAAATGGCAACCACCCCAACCTATAACTGACTTGTGCAGCAAGGAGCACATGGAAGGGCGACGCAGGTCAAAAAACAACAAACAAAAATTCCCAGCTCACTTACCAGCCAGCCTGCAACAAACTGAATTGTCCTGTCTAAAGGAAGTTCAAGTAGTGATGATGCCTAATGAAGCCTACTAGCAGCTTGTTTAAAGTAATATTCAACCCTCCCATTAAGATCTGGGTTTAAAGGCTAAACACACCTTTTGGCCTTTTGGAAAAAAATATAAATTTACAGATATTTTATATATATATATATATATATATATATATTGCAAATCGATCTGCAAAGCATTATAACAACATTCACTGGATAGCTGGAGGAAGTGTCAATGGACTACGAGTGCGATGATCACTGCATTTGTCATTTGTATTCCACTGAGAACAAGTCTGTCTGCCATGGAGGGGACTTGTAGTTTACTTAATCACAGATCTCAAAATTCAAAAGTGACAGCTGATGCAGGGCAGAAGAACCCCTACATTCTATCATGGTGATAGAGGAGGGTGTTTTGGGGGTGGGGTGGGTACCATTGTACCATGTTACCCGTTACACCCTAAATACAGGGGTAACATGCAACGTGCTGTAAAATGGGTGGAGTTAGCCTTTAACCTTCCCTATCTGGAGCTGAATAATGCTAACAAAGCTAAATTGCTATTTTTTTTTCAAATCTTGCCATTCAATCTGCTGCTATACAAAGTGAAGCCATGTGTAGAAGGCTGAACTGCCCTGTATTTAAAAAATAAATACATACATTAAAAAAAAAATAATTAAAAAAATATATATATATCAGTTTAGTAGGATAATAGCTCTTTGAACCAAATTCATAATTTACAACAATAAAAAAGTTAAGAAAAACAAAGTTGTAGAAAAGTTCCTCAGTTCCAATTAGTTATACACCAGGAGATTAGAAGTTTAGTGAAGTTGTAACTACAGATGAATGTGATGTAATAGTTTTGTCCCGGAAGGTTTCTCTTTGTTTCATGTTCTTAGCAATGAGCAGATTATTACATGTTAAGTAAAGGCTGATGTAATCGTTTTGTCTTGGGAGGTTTCTCTTTGTTCTTAGCTCTGAGCAGACTATAAATACAACCTTGTCTTTGTGTCTGACTTGTAGGAAGATTTGTATCCTACATATTGCTGTGCAGGTAGAAGATGTCACATTTATATCATATACTCACTGTGTCTGAGTATTGGGTCGTATTCTCTTTGTTGGGTTGTCAGTCATTTCATGTTTGCAGCGTGAATTTCCCTCTCTGATGTACAATGGGGATAGACAGAGGATACAATTTCTTTACTACTGGAAGATGTGACCACTTATTGGTAGACACCCCATTGTAGTAAATAAAATCAGTGCTGACAATGTGATGATTGTCAACAAGTAGATATTTCTAAGTAATAAAGAGTGTAGCTCAAGCTGGCCATACACTAGTAGAATTTATTTTTAAATCCTTCATTTTAAGAATGTCCATTTGACTTTCCTATCATTAGAGGGGTGACATTGATGTTCATTTTCAGCTGCAGTGATGGGAAAAATCTGAAGGATCAGGATGGAAATTGTTTCTTGAATGAACAAATTTCTAACAATGTATGTGGCTTTTTTCTTTCATTCCAAAAACTATTGTTAAAAGAAAACTCAAATTTGAACGCCATTTGTAATTGAATATACTACAAATGTTTGTTTAAGAATCTACTAGTATATGGCCAGCTTTAGACCTCATTCACACAGGATGTATGAATGTGTGCTCTGTGTGTGAGGGCTGCCTTTACCCGCACTTGGATTCAAATCCCTGTGCTGACAGTCCAGTTGCTGTCATTTGGGAGCATGAATATAGCTGCTGCTCCCAATGTGACATTATTATTTGTGTTTTTATGTTTTCTTTCAAAATACCATAAATGAGAGTATATTACAGCACGTATTTAGGTGTCCTTGAACAGCTGCAGTATTCGCACTTATTAATTATGGGTGAAACTTTTGTATTATTTTTTTAATTAATTGTATCAGTTTTTTGTAGAAAAAATAATTTAAATTTTAGGAGGAACATTGTTTTTATACTGCTTGTACTGCATACATGCCTTCACTAAGAGTTCAGTCATAGGATATATTGAAAATATTTTTTATATTTTGCTACTTTTTTTTGTAGAATACTTTTCTCTGCGTATTGTACATGTTGTTCAATATTTAGCTTAGGGCTTTACAGAAAATGTAAATTGTATCTAAACCCCGGGGCAAAAATGTAATATATTGCAGCCCATCAATCTTAAATGTGGTGGCTGCATTAGTTTACATTCTTTTTTTTTTCTTTATTTTCACTTGATGACCCTGCCAGTAACACACTACCTGTCCAAAGGTGACAACACTGTCTCACCACACTGTATCTTTGGAGGGGCAGCCCACATTGAAGAAAAATATATTTTAAATATATTTTTAAATTATGCTTCCCAAATATATTGACATATATTTGCTTGAAGTGAGGTGATTGTAGCCGTATTATATTTGACATATATTTGAAATGCTACAATTTTGGCTGTATTCAATATATTTCAAACTATATTTAAAAAAAATATATATTTTATATATATATATATATATATATATATTTATATTTTTTTAATATATAATTTATTATATATATACTTATGCATTTTTTGTATATTACAAAATATATGAAAATATTTTTAAAAATATATTTTTTAAAAATATATTCTTCAGATTTGTTTTAACATACTAAAACTCATCTTAACATATATTTTTAAATGCATTCCATTTAAAAGTCCCTGACCCTTTCCAAAAATACAGCAGCTCAAAAAAGCATAGAGGTGAACATGAAACCATGTTAAATGGACTGTATTGTGTTTCTGAAAAAAGCACTAAAAAATGCATTGGTGTGAACGGAGCCTAAGGCTGGCCGTATACTATACAATTTTCTGTCCAATTTCCTTTAGATGTACCTTCAACTATGTAGTGCAAGGGCCCGCCTAATTGGATACAATTCAAAGTGTTGTTAGGTTTGACCTCCTATTATATGGTTTTTGGTAAATCGAAAGCAAAATTCTCAAGACAATTGTAGAATGTATGGCCAGCGTTAAGCTGGAGGGTGCAAAATCCGGCTCACTTCTGCATAGAAACCAATCAGCTTCCAGGTTTTATTTCCAAAGATTAATTGAACAAGCTGAAGTTAGAAGCTGATTGCTTTCTATGCAGAAGTGAGCCGGATTTTGCACCCTCCAGCTTTAGTACAGAAACCCCTCTCTGCCCGGCTGCCATGCTCTCCCAACGGTCTGGCATTAAAAAGTATGTTGTTCAGGAATTCTGGCAAGTCAGAGACAGCCGGGCAACCAGCATTTTCAGAAGGGAAGACATCATTAATACTGTATGTATGTTTCTCAGTAGTTTCCTTTTAACTCCGAAGGCACAGTGACTGATATGTGATTATACGTATGTGTATGAAAAACTCAAAAGGAATAGAAATTCTTTTTTTTTAAATACCAATTTGTCTTTAATTCGGTTAATTTTGTGGGTAAAGAATGTTTTTTTGCCATACATGTTAGTCTGGATACATAAGACATTTTTTGTATTTTAGTTAGTATTTATGACATACGTGTTTACCAACAAAAAAAAACATGATCTTAGGATGTTAGGAAATATTTGGTACCCACACATATATATACATATATATTTTTTCAGTTTAAAAAACAAACATGCCATACAGGTTACCTGTTGTGTGTAGTGGTTTTGGACAGAGCAGCCCAGATCCTCTTCTTCTCAGGTCCCCCAGCCAGTGCTCCTGGCTCCTCCTTCCTTTTGGGTGCCACCATAGCAAGCAGCTTGCTATGGTGGCACCCGAGCAGGCGCACTTCCAAGCCGCTGCTCCGTGTGTCCATTCACACATAGAGCCTCAGCTTGGCCCGTCTCCTCAGTCTCCTCATTGGCTCACAGGTTGTGATTGACAGCAGAGAGAGCCAATGGCTCCCACTGCTGTGTCAGCCAATGAGGCGACAAAGACCCAGGATGGACTAGGCTCTCGTGCACATCCCTGGATCGCAATGGGGCTCAGGTAAGTATTAGGGGGGGCTGGGGGGACTGTTGCACAGAGAAGGTTTTTTACCTTCAGGCATCGAATGTGTGACGGTAAAAAACTTAGAGCCTTTACAAACACTTTAACTGCTGCTTTGTTAAAAAAATACATTTTGTTTTTGTGTAGCTCACATCCTATGGAAAACTCAACATTTCCTCTAGATGTGCACATTTTGCCATTTTTCTTGAAAACTGACCACAAATTGTTCATCTTTAGCACTGTCTACTTTTTCTTCATCTATATAATTGGAATTCTGGTGAACACAGTTATCATCGCAGTAATATGTTTGGACCTCCATTTGCACACCCCGATGTATTTATTTCTCTGGAACTTGTCTGTTATTGATATGTGTTATACAACTGTCACCATTCCAAAACTCCTCTACATCTTACTATCTGGAAATAATACAATGCCATTTACACAATGCCTTACCCAGATGTATTTTATGTTAATAGCGGCCAGTGCTGAGGGCATAATTCTGTTCATAATGGCGTATGACCGATATGTCGCAATTTGTCACCCTTTACACTATCATCAGATACTTAGTAAGAAAATCTGTATATTACTAATGATGGTGATCTGGATTGGTGGGAATATAAATTCATCTTTGTTTACAAGTTCAGTCCTAAACATAATTTTTGCTGCTCCTCAGTTACCATTCACCAGTTCTTCTGTGATGCTAAAGCTCTCATCAACATTGCCTGCGGTGGTACTGAAATGTTTCACATTGTCACGTATGCAGAGTATTTAGTATTTGGGTTCTGTCCAGTTATGTGCAACTTGCTGTCCTATGTACAGATTATCAGGGTCATACAACGTATTACATCTAAGGATGGCAGAAGTAAAGTCTTCTCCACCTGTTCATCCCACCTCGCTGTTCTGGCCATCTACTATGGATCTGGTGTATCTGTATACATGATACCACCATCAGACCGCTATGCCATACTTGAACAGATCTTAACCATGTTCTACACCACAGTGGTCCCCATGTTGAACCCTCTCATATACAGTCTACGGAACAAAGAAATAAAGAGTTATTTGCGGAAACTTGTGTCATAATACTCACAAGTACTGATGAGGTTTGGGTTTGCCACTAACCATGGACATTCTTCAAATTCTGCATTGTCCACCTTAAAGAACCTGACAGACTTACATGGCAGTTTACCAAACCAAATTCTTTGTAACCATAATGCACTGCCTGGGCTTTGAACTTAGGTCAGTGGGCTTGGAATAGGCAATAAGGGGCTTTTGGATAACCAGCCTTCTCACTATAAAAAGGTCATTTCACAGTATCCATAATGATAATTTGCTTTGGCGTTGATGGGGAAAGCATGGGGAGTATTGCTCATAAAGTGCGTTTGGAGAGATTAATGTAGAACTAGGAGGTATAGCAGGTCTGTTAAAGAGTAAACCTTTACTGAATGTGCTACAGGTAGTAAAATGCTGTGTGTTTAGGAGATTTGAGGAGCAGGGGAGGGAAGGGTTTTTACCTTTTTTTCATTGTTTTCAATTTCATTGCTAGGTCTTGCTGCTGGGGTCCTACAGCCTCTTTATGGGCTGTTTCCATCCATATTTACTACAGTGATAATGGGCTGGATGTGTTTTTTTTACTTATTTCCCCAATTGAAATAATTTTTTTCTTTTCACTGGCCTTCTATGAAAATGGACTAACTACCTCCCGCCCGGGCCTATAGTAAAAAGACAGCAAAGCGAGAGATTTCTAATCCTGGGTGGACGTCATATGATGTCTTCCCAGTCACACGCCTCATGCACACTGTAGCGGCCATGCTGCAGCAAGATCTGTCACCAACCATGTCCACTGGGCAGGGGCAGAAGACAGATCATTGTACCGGGCTGACTCCAATAGCATGTGATCACTGTGACCAATCACAGTGATTACATGACACTGGTACACAATCAATGGGATTTACTAAAACCAGAGAGTGCAAAATCTGGTGCAGCCCTGCATGGTAGCCAATCAGCTTGTTCAATTAAATGTTGACAAAAAAAGCTAGCAGCTGATTGGTTTCTATGCAGAGAGTTTGCACTAGTTTTAATAAATCAACCCAAATGAATGACTTTCATTTATAGCCATTCATTGTGTACTATTGTGATGATCTTTGTGATTGGTCACAGTGATTACATGGTACGGTCTGGGCCATTCACAGCTATTATGATAGTACACAATGGCAATGAATGGATGCCATTGATAAAAAATGATTGCTTATACCAGTGAGGTGCATAATAATTTTAGTTAGGGTCTTAGATACTTGGAATACTGTAGTGGGCTCAGTATGTTCTGATTTGTGGGTCTTATAAACAGTTGGCCTCTGTTTAAATAGGATACAGCTGTTAGCACATATACTGGTATCTCTAATGATTAACTCTTTGGTGCCGAGCAGGGGCGGACTGACCATTTGGAAACTCGGGCACTGCCCGAGGGCTCGGAGTCAGTAGGGGGCCCCATGAGATGCCCCTGGTACCTTTTTCATAGGCTTTTTTGAGTTTGGGCAAGGACACAGGGGCCCCATAATCCCCTATTGCCCGGGGGCCCCATGAGTTGTCAGTCCACCCCTGGTGCCGAGCGTACGCAAATTGTAGACTAAAAAGCCAAACTGATTCCAATGTTTCTGATTTGGAGCGCAAGAAACATTGGAGCCAGTTTGGCTTTTTAGTCTTCAACACATTGTCAAGTCTTCATCATCATTTATTCTATTCAACTCATTTTTGGTCATTTACTTTGAGATGGTTTGTGTGAGGATGGTTTGTGTGAACAATTGTCCAGCATGCTGGTAATCTAACTCAAGGCCACTTCATCTATCTCTTTCAAACTGTCCCTTTATCTCTGAGAGCTCCCAGTGTTGATTGGTAACTAAAGGTATCTTTGATTGGAATATACAACCATTAGGTATACAGATATAATTTGGGGATACATCATTGGTCCTTAGACATGTCTTGTTAGATTTGGATGGGTGTATCTTTGTGTTCAACGTGTTTTGCCTTTTGATTAATAAGCAGAATTTGTAAGTCTAGAATTTGTAAGTCTAGATCTAGTATTAGTGCATTTTTGGATACATAGTTTATTCACGCTTGTTGAGTGTAGACAATTTTGGTTTGGATTGAGGTATAGAGCAAATCCATTCTATAAGGAAACTTTTTGATATGTGAGTATTTATAGTGTGATGTGTCTCTGCCTCCTCTTACCTTTGAAAAAGTCCTGATTGGATTAAATGTGTCAGGTGGGCAAGACTGTGATGTCATCACGCTGGGCGGGACCACAGCCGGACTTTGCAGAGGTTTAGGAACACTGTTGTTTACACGGATGCTGCTGTTTGATTTTAGTAGAGCCTCGTTCACACCATACATGCAGAAAAACTGATGGAAACTGACATGCAGATTTCACTTGCAGAGACATCAGTTTTCATGCGCGCTTCAATGAGTTTTATACAAGTTGCAGATTCCTGTGCAGAAAAACTGTTGTGGTGTGAACAGGACACATAGAGAACAACTGATTACCGTATTTTTTACTCCATAAGATGCGCCTTACCATAAGACGCACCTAGATTTTAGAGGAGGAATAAACAAAAAAAAATTCTAAAAACCAATGGATTGCAGACATAGGACAGGACAAGAGATGACTAGAGACTGCGGACACAGTACAGGAGATGACTAGAGACTGCGGACACAGTACAGGAGATGACCAGAGACTGCGGACACAGTACAGGAGATGACTAGAGACTGGGACACAGTACAGGAGATGACCAGAGACTGCAGACATATTACAGGAGATGACCAGAGACTAGAACACAGTACAGGAGATGACCAGAGACTGCGGACACAGTACAGGAGATGACCGGAGACTGCGGACACAGTACAGTAGATGGCCAGAGGCTGCAGACCTTAGGGGAGGAGGAGGGGGGGCAGGTATCCGAATTTAACAGGTACCCACTCCCACTTCCGCGGAGTTGTCCTCCCTCCCCTCCCTGTAGTCTTGTGGGAAATGTGACAGGTCCCACAAGACTACGGGGCCATTCACAAAGCGCAGAGCTTCACATGCATGCCCAGTGTGAAGCCACAAGCTGTCACAGCCGGGTGCCCACACTGAAGATGCCGGCGCTGGGGAGCAAAGACGACCGATGGAAGCAGGACACCACTGGACCAAGGAACAGGTAGGACCAAGGAGCGGGTTCTTCTGCACAGTAGAGCCTAGTGGCCGGCCCGGTATTCTAACATGGCGGCGGCGGAAATACCTGGCCGGATGCTCCATAAGATGCACAGTCATTTTCTCCCATGTTTTGGGGGGAAAAAAAGTGCATCTTACGGAGCACAAAATCCAGTACATTGTACTCTTGCAGAACATGTGCAGAAATACTGACGTCTCTGCACCGTGGTGTGAACGAGCCTTAAATGTGAGCGTTACTTTTGTATGACTATAAATGAATGCCACAGACTCTTGCTATGAGCTTTCTCTGCATGTCTTTTTATGATTGTTAACCCTTGCTGATGATAAACTGGAGTAGAAATGAGCTGCAGAGGAAAGTCCTGAGGATGAGTTACCCGGCTGTATATGACCTCTGCTACTATATGGGCTCTACCTGAACAGGTGAGGGCACAGCTGACAATACCAGCGATGGAATGGCTTCACCCTGTGGAAGATGAATGGAGAGTACAGAGACCGCCACTATCTATATCTTATCACATTGTTATTCTGGAGAACATTCATTTATGGACTTTGGGATTTGTTGATTTTCACACAAAGACTTTCATGTATTTGTATATATTGTTCACTGTTTATGTCACAGGATTTATATGTAATGATAATGTTTTTTCACTATTTACTTCACTATTTTATTTGATAATGTGTTATATGTGAAGGATTGCTGCACAGGAGGCCTGGCTCTCAGTCTCCGCTCTAATTCATCCCAAAGGTGTTCTATGGGGTTGAGGTCAGGACTCTGTGCAGGCCAGTCAAGTTCTTCCACCCCAAACTGGCTCCTCCATGTCTTTATGGACCTTGCTTTGTGCACTGGTGTGCAGTCATGATGGAACAGGAAGGGGCCATCCCCAAACTCTTCCCACAAAGTTGGGAGCATGAAATTGTCCAAAATGTCTTGGTATGCTGACGCCTTAAGAGTTCCCTTCACTGGAATTAGGAGGCCATGGCCAACCCCTGAAAAACAACCCCACACCATATCCCCCCTCCACCAAACTTTACACTTGGCACAATGCAGATAGGCAAGTACCGTTCTCCTGTCAACTGCCAAACCCAGACTCATCCATCGGATTGCCAGACAGAGAAGCGTGATTGCTCACTCCAGAGAACACGTCTCCTCTGCTCTAGAGTCTAGTATAATACAAACAACATAAAAGATTTTAGGCATTTTAAAGAAAAACCTGACTAAATATCAAGCTCCAAAATGTTTGATACCAATAGGCTTCCTCCACATTTTACTAAGTGAGAGAAAATGAGTATATCAAGGAGAGGATGATAGAAGAAATGGTTTAGGTTATAGTGTATATGGATGCATGCCCATGCATATATATAGATTGTTTACAAACCTTTAATGTAAATGGTACAAAAAATAAGTACAGTGGATACAGTCAAAAAAGTTACATAGACATAGTGTCAAACAATCCATTTCCATCATATCCTAATAAGGTACACAGTACCAAAAAACAGAACAAAAAGACATAAAAATTAAAAAAAAGACTTTCCAAAAAAGGAGCATAACAGAAGGCAATTTCAGGGCGCATTAAAGTAGTAGCTTAGATAGGGCTGCATCCAACAGGTGAAAAACTATAAAGGTGCATAGAGTTCCCATGGCATAAACAAAATGGAATAACAGAAAAACCAACTGCAGAGTATAAAATAGTATCAGTCTGAGGAAGGAAGACGAAACACAACAAGATTGACGCAATCCGTAAGGACATAGTCAACTCGCAATCTACCTCCCCACCTAGCCTCCCCCCCCATCTCCCCCTCATCTTTTCCCTCCTCTGACCTCGCAACCGCACTGCCCCCCCACACACCCCAAGGCCCCGCTTACCGTAACCCCCCCAGCACTGCACTCCTTCAGCCCTGCTACCACTGAGGAAGTCACCAGGGCATTCTCAGAAGCCCCCTGAACCCTATCCCCTCTCAACTCCTCTGGTCACCCCCCTCTTCCCTCATCCGCTCCCTCACCCACATCTTCAATCTCTCCCTCTCTACCGGCGTATTCCCCTCCCCCCTAAAGCATGCACACATCACCCCCGTACTCAAAAAGCCCTCCCTGGACCCCACTGACCCAAACAACCTCAGACCCATCTCCCTGCTGCCACTCACTTCCAAGCTCCTTGAGCGCTTAGTCTACGACCGCCTAAGCGCCCACCTAACTGACAACAACCTCCTTGATCCACTACAATCCGGCGTCCGTCCCCTACACTCCACTGAAACTGCCCTCCTCAAAATCACCAATGACCTACTAACTGCCAAAGCCAAAGGCGACTACTCTGTCCTCCTCCTCCTGGACCTCTCCGCGGCCTTCGACACAGTTGACCACCCCCTCCTCCTTAATAAACTACTCTCCCTTGGCATCAGAGACACCGCTCTCTCCTGGTTCTCCTCTTACCTATCCCGACGCTCCTTCAGCGTTTCCTACAACGGTGCCACCTCCCATTCCCTCCCCCACTCTGTTGGGGTCCCCCAGGGCTCCGTCCTTGGACCCCTTCTCTTCTCCATCTATACCTCCTCCCTTGGCAAACTCATACACTCCCACGGCTTCAACTACCACCTCTACTCTGATGACACTCAAATTTACCTCTCCACCCCTCACCTCACTCCCACATTCTCCGCCCGCATCACTCACCTCCTAAACGACACCAGACTCATGTCACTCTATTTCCTCAAGCTTAACCTCTCCAAAACCGAGCTCTACGTCTTTCCCCCTGCCCGCGCCCCCACCCATCCTATCCATCACTACCAACAACACCACCATCAATCCCGCCCCGCAAGCCAAAGTCCTTGGCGTCATTCTGGACTCAAACCTTTCCTTCCAACCTCATGTCAAATCACTTACAAACACATGCAGGCTCCACCTCTGCAACATCGCCAAAATACGCTCCTTCCTTACCCCAGACACCACTAAACTACTTGTACACTCCCTGATTATCTCACGCCTGGACTACTGCAACTGCCTCGTCACCGGCCTGCCCCAGTGCAAGCTCTCCCCCGCTTCAGACCATCCTGAACTCAGTGGCTAGACTCATCCACCTCACCAACCACTCCACATCTGCCACCCCCCCTCTGCCTATCCCTCCACTGGCTCCCTATTGCCCAACGCATCAAATTCAAACTACTCACTCTGACCTACAAAGCCATTCACAACACTGCCCCTAAACTACCTCACCAACCTGATTCCCAGGTACCACCCTACCCGTACCCTTCGCTCTTCACAGGACCTCCTTCTATCTTGCTCCCTGGTCTCCCCCTCCCACGCACGACTGCAAGACTTCTCCAGGTCCACCCCCATCCTCTGGAACTCACTACCCCAATCCATCAGACTGTCACCTTCCCTCCTCACCTTCAGGCGCTCCCTGAAAACTCACCTCTTCAGGGAAGCCTACCCCACCCTCACCTAAAAAAGTCTACTATGCTTCAGTTATGAATGAACACACTGAGTGAGCGGTACCAATCATTCATTGTGTTCATTCAGTAAAGGAAGGGGCTGGTAAAGAGGATATATTTACAGGACCCATCCCGCACTCTCTCCATCTTGCAGGATGCTATTGTGTGCTTGCAGCTGCTGTTGGGAAGGAGAGGAGGGAAGCTGGCAGCATTGCCTTATCCATGGCTCTGCTTGCTACAATCATGAACAGAAGAACTTCATTTTCTGAAGGGCTTCTGATTAATGCATTATTGTGCATATTATTGTTGGGCGTGCAATCTGTTGCTGGAAATCAAGGAACACCTCCCTCTCTGGAAAAGAACCAAGGTTGCCTGGAACTTGCTTAAAGAGGTTGCATTTTACACCGACTTCCTTCTCCCATTCTTCTTATTATATATTATTGCATACATACTCTTCCAACAACACCCAATATAGGATAGGGATGGCAGCACAAGGACAAATTGCTGGACTTGGGGAATGGTTATAGTGTAACTCTTTTGCAGTTCCAGATAACAGCTGATGCTTGCTGCCATCTGAAGCTGCACTGTACAGTCACTGTACAATTTTTGAGTGGGGGTCTATTGTTGCTGGTGGAGGATCTGTTGTTGCTAGGGGGGTCTTATGTTTCTGGGGGGGGTCATTTGTTGCTGACAGGGATCTACTGTTGAGGTAAGGGTCTATTATTGCTGGCTGATGGAGGGCTTAGAGATCTGTTGTTGCTGGTGGGGGTCTAGTGTTGATGGGGGATCTATTGTTGGTGGGAGAGGTATATTGTTTCTGGCTGCAGAGGATCTATTTTACCGCTTTTCTTGTTTATCATTAACAAATTCCATACAGATTATTTAGCACTACAAGATCATACGTGATTCAGTTTTCCCTAAATGGGGCGTTACTTGGAGTTGGGTAGGACGTGGAACCAAGGGACAGTGCTGGGAGGTGGGTAGGAGGCGGAGACAAGGGTGACTCAGAAGGGGGGAGTTCCTGCACCTAATCCCTGAGATAAAAAGCCCTGAGGATCCATAATGTAAGATTTGTCCGGTAATCCTCAGTCAGCAGGGCATATAATACTCAGAATTAGAGGCAGATTATTGTATGTGTGGTGAATGCAGAAAAAATACAAATCTCTCTTGAATAAAACCATATTCATCTCTTGCTTCTCCTTATCTTTTCTGTTATCTTCTATTCATTTTATTCTATTCTGTTCTAAGAAATGTTCAGTTCTACGTTTATCATCTATTGATGCCTATATACTCATTCTTTTAAACCTTTCTCTGTAATAAATATCATAAACTCCAGCTGAAAATGTGTACATACAGGATTTGCTTTTGTCCTAATCAATCATCAGCCAAATCTTGCACTTAGTTTTTGGCATTTTCAAAATGTTAGTAACTTCTTAAAATTCAACCACAATAAACACTGTAATTTTAGTTTTGTATTGCATCTAGAGATGAGCGAAGAAATGAAAAATTCGATTCGACTGATTCGGCGAATTCGTGGACAATATTCGATTCGAGTCGAATAAATTCGCTGTGAATTAACTTAAAAAAGGGTGTTTCTAGGCTTCAGAGAGACTTAATATTAGTGCAGAACACTGTACCTTTAATTTAAATGCCCTTGGAGTCTGCTGGGGAAGAGAAATAATACTGTCACTCAGTATGACATGCAGATGAGTGCCGTCGATCTTAGAATCACCGCACACTTCACTCATTTGGCCAGTCACGGGGCCAAAACCAGAGTGTGGAGCCACAGTGTGGCGGTGGAGGCAGAAGCAATGGGAGGCCATACAGCAACCTATGACAAAATGGAAACCAGCAGGAGTGTGAGGAGACCTGAAAGTGGCACATGGCAGAGTGGGAGCAATGGGAGGCGGTACAGGGACCCAGGTCACACTGTGGGCCCAGCAGCAGCGTGACCAGGCGGTACGGGGGCCCATGGCAGATTTGGGGCCTGGCAGCACCTATGGGAGGCCTGTAATCTGCCAGCACCCTATGACAAAATGGAACCCTGGGCTGGGGCAGGCAGAACCGCCGTATCTTTATCACGGTTTTCCCAGGCCACCGAATGGCGACGCTGCATATGCTGACGCAACGCTGTAGTCCCAACATGGGCCCCCTGGCCACGCTTGACTTTCTGGCCACATAGTCGACATACGGCTACGTTTACTTCCTCGGGCGGCTTGACGAAAAATTGCCACACCGCAGAGTAGGAAACTTTGCCTCCGCTACTCCTCACTGGCTGACTGCTACTTCGTCCGTGCACACCGGGCACCACTACTGGCCGTGTGGTGGTAGGCTGCAGGAGCTGGTGCTCTACTCCGTGGCCGTTTGCCTCCACTGACACTGCTGCGACCCTGCTGCCTCCTGGCAGCAGCAATGGGAGGCCGTACAGGGACCCATGAGAGACTCTGGACTTGGCAGCAGCATGAGGAGGCGGTATATAGGGGCCCATGGCAGATTAGGGGCCTGGCAGCAGCTATGGGAGGCCCGTAATCTGCCAGCACCCTATGTCAAAAAATTCAACACAACAGCAGTGTGTGAGGAGACCTGAAAGTGGCACATGGCAGAGTGTGGCGATGGAGACAGCAGCAATGGGAGGCCGTACAGGGACCCATGAGAGACTCTGGACTTGGCAGCAGCATGAGGAGGCGGTATATAGGGGCCCATGGCAGATTAGGGGCCTGGCAGCAGCTATGGGAGGCCCGTAATCTGCCAGCACCCTATGTCAAAAAATTCAACACACCAGCAGTGTGAAGAGACCTGAATGTGGCACATGGCAGAGTGTGGCGATGGAGACAGCAGCAATGGGAGGCCGTACAGGGACCCATGAGAGACTCTGGACTTGGCAGCAGCATGAGGAGGCGGTATATAGGGGCCCATGGCAGATTAGGGGCCTGGCAGCAGCTATAGGAGGCCCGTAATCTGCCAGCACCCTATGTAAAAAAAACATTCAACACACCAGCAGTGTGTGAGGAGACCTGAAAGTGGCACATGGCAGAGTGTGGCGATGGAGACAGCAGCAAGCTATGGGAGGCCGTACAAGGACCCATGAGAGACTCTGGACTTGGCAGCAGCATGAGGAGGCGGTATATAGGGGCCCATGGCAGATTAGGGGCCTGGCAGCAGCTATAGGAGGCCCGTAATCTGCCAGCACCCTATGTCAAAAAATTCAACACACCAGCAGTGTGTGAGGAGACCTGAAAGTGGCACATGGCAGAGTGTGGCGATGGAGACAGCAGCAATGGGAGGCCGTACAAGGACCCATGAGAGACTCTGGACTTGGCAGCAGCATGAGGAGGCGGTATATATAGGGGCCCATGGCAGATTAGGGGCCTGGCAGCAGCTATGGGAGGCCCGTAATCTGCCAGCACCCTATGTCAAAAAATTCAACACAACAGCAGTGTGTGAGGAGACCTGAAAGTGGCACATGGCAGAGTGTGGCGATGGAGACAGCAGCAATGGGAGGCCGTACAGGGACCCATGAGAGACTCTGGACTTGGCAGCAGCATGAGGAGGCGGTATATAGGGGGCCCATGGCAGATTAGGGGCCTGGCAGCAGCTATATGGGAGGCCCGTAATCTGCCAGCACCCCTATGTCAAAAAATTGAAAACACAAGCAGTGTGAAGAGACCTGAATGTGGCACATGGCAGAGTGTGGCGATGGAGACAGCAGCAATGGGAGGCCGTACAAGGGACCCATGAGAGACTCTGGACTTGGCAGCAGCATGAGGAGGCGGTATATAGGGGCCCATGGCAGATTAGGGGCCTGGCAGCAGCTATGGGAGGCCCGTAATCTGCCAGCACCCTATGTCAAAAAATTCAACACAACAGCATGTGTGTGAGGAGACCTGAAAGTGGCACATGGCAGAGTGTGGCGATGGAGACAGCAGCAATGGGAGGCCGTACAGGGACCCATGAGAGACTCTGGACTTGGCAGCAGCATGAGAGGAGGCGGTATATAGGGGCCCATGGCAGATTAGGGGCCTGGCAGCAGCTATGGGAGGCCCGTAATCTGCCTGCACCCTATGTCAAAAAATTGAAAACACACAGCAGTGTGAAGAGACCTGAATGTGGCACATGGCAGTGTGTGGCGATGGAGACAGCAGCAATGGGAGGCCGTACAGGGACCCATGAGAGACTCTGGACTTGGCAGCAGCATGAGGAGGCGGTATATAGGGGCCCATGGCAGATTAGGGGCCTGGCAGCAGCTATAGGAGGCCCGTAATCTGCCAGCACCCTATGTCAAAAAATTCAACACACCAGCAGTGTGTGAGGAGACCTGAAAGTGGGCACATGGCAGAGTGTGGCGATGGAGACAGCAGCAATGGGAGGCCGTACAGGGACCCATGAGAGACTCTGGACTTGGCAGCAGCATGAGGAGGCGGTATATATAGGGGCCCATGGCAGATTAGGGGCCTGGCAGCAGCTATGGGAGGCCCGTAATCTGCCAGCACCCTATGTCAAAAAATTCAACACACCAGCAGTGTGTGAGAGACCTGAATGTGGCACATGGCAGAGTGTGGCGATGGCGACAGCAGCAATGGGAGGCTGTACAGGGCCCATGAGTGTGGCGATGGAGACAGCAGCAATGGGAGGCCGTACAGGGACCCATGAGAGACTCTGGACTTGGCAGCAGCATGAGGAGGCGGTATATAGGGGCCCATGGCAGATTAGGGGCCTGGCAGCAGCTATGGGAGGCCCGTAATCTGCCAGCACCCTATGACAAAAAATGTAACACACCAGCAGTGTGAGGAGACCTGAAAGTGGCACATGGCAGAGTGTGGCGATGGAGACAGCAGCAATGGGAGGCCGTACAGGGACCCATGAGAGAGACTCTGGACCTGCAGCAGCATGAGGAGGCGATATATAGGGGCCCATGGCAGATTAGGGGCCTGGCAGCAGCTATAGGGGGCCCGTAATCTGCCAGCACCCTATGTCAAAAAATTCAACACACCAGCAGTGTGTGAGGAGGAGACCTGAAAGTGGCACATGGCAGAGTGTGGCGATGGGAGACAGCAGCAATGGGAGGAGGCCGTACAGGGACCCATGAGAGACTCTGGAACTGGCAGCAGCATGAGGAGGCGGTATATAGGGGCCCATGGCAGATTAGGGGCCTGGCAGCAGCTATAGGGGGCCCGTAATCTGCCAGCACCCTATGTCAAAAAAAATTCTACACACCAGCAGTGTGTGAGGAGACCTGAAAGTGGCACATGGCAGAGTGTGGCGATGGAGACAGCAGCAATGTGGAGGCCGTACAGGGACCCATGAGAGACTCTGGACTTGGCAGCAGCATGAGGAGGCGGTATATAGGGGCCCATGGCAGATTAGGGCCTGGCAGCAGCTATGGGAGGTCCGTAATCTGCCAGCACCCTATGTCACTCTCCTCGCCAGTACTTCTTCGCCTGGCTGCTGAAAAGGCCGATGTCTCCCCCCGTTCCTGACCGCCCTCTGTTAGCTCTTCCTCACTGTACAGTGGGGCTGAGCCCACAGCATGCGATACTTCGCTTGGTGAGGGAAACAGCAAAGGACAGGGGCAGGTAGAGGACATGTGATTTCAGTGAGCTTGCTCCCGGGCCATGCCAACTAACGGTTGTGTCTGACGTACCCACCGACCGTTGGCTGTAGGTGTCAGAGGTGACCTGGGAAGAGGAAGACGACCGAGCCAACCAATCAATGACGGCAGGGTTGTCGGTGGAGACACGACCGCTGGATGACACCGGGAGCACTGGCCTCTGGCTGCGAATAGTGCTGCCTCGACCCCTTCCTCTGCTGCCACACGTCTGCTCGCTCCTCCTAAAAAATTGCCTCCTCTGCCACTCCTCTGCATGTTGTCTGACATACTCTTTAATTCAACGATTATGTGTCCCTGAGTAACAATTCTCTGGCACTCAGTAACAATTCTGTCTGTCCCTGAGTAAAAATTCTGTGGCCCTAAGTAAAGTTTCTGTGGCCCCCTGAGTAACAAATTCTCTGGCACTCCGTAACAATTCTGTCTGTCCCTGAGTAACAATTCTCTGGCACTCAGTAACAATTCTGTCTGTCCCTGAGTAAAAATTCTGTGGCCCTAATTAAAGTTTCTGTGGCCCTGAGTAACAATTCTCTGGCACTCAGTAACAATTCTGTCTGTCCCTGAGTAAAAATTCTGTGGCCCTAACTAGCGTTTCTTTGTCCCTAAGTAACAGTTTTTGTGGGCCCTGAGTAACAATTCTGTGTCCCTGCGAGTAACAATTCTGTGGCCCTAAGTAACAGTTCTGTGGCCCTCAGTAACAATTCTGTGTCTGTGCGAGTAACAATTCTGTGTCTGTGCGAGTAACAATTCTGTGGCCCTAAGTAAAATCTGTGGCCTTCAGTAACAATTCTGTGTCTGTGCGAGTAACAATTCTGTGTCTGTGCGAGTAACAATTCTGTGGCCCTAAGTAACAAGTTTCTGTGGCCCTAAGTAACAATTCTGGCACTGGCACTCAGTAACAATTCTGTCTGTCCCTGAGTAACAATTCTCTGGCACTCAGTAACAATTCTGTCTGTCCCTGAGTAAAAATTCTCTGTGCCCTAAGTAAAGTTTCTGGGGCCCTGAGTAACAATTCTCTGGGCACTCAGTAACAATTCTTCTGTCTGTCCCTGAGTAAAAATTCTGTGGCCCTAAGTAAAGTTTCTGTGGCCCTGAGTAACAATTCTCTGGCACTCCGTAACAATTCTGTCTGTCCCTGAGTAAAATTCTGTGGCCCTAACTAGCGTTTCTTTGTCCCTAAGTAACAGTTCTGAGGCCCTGAGTAACAATTCTGTCTGTGCTGAGTAACAATTCTGTGGCCCTAACTAAGTAACAGTTCTGTGGCCCTCAGTAACAGTTCTGTGGCTGTGCGAGTAACAATTCTGTGTCTGTGCGAGTAACAATTCTGTGGCCCTAAGTAAAGTTCTGTGGCCCTCAGTAACAATTTCTGTGTCTGTGCGAGTAACAATTCTGTGTCTGTGCGAGTAACAATTCTGTGGCCCTAAGTAAAGTTTGTGGCTGTGGCCCTAAGTAAGTAACAATTCTCTGGCACTCAGTAACAATTCTGTCTGTCCCTGAGTAACAATTCTCTGGCACTCAGTAACAATTCTGTCTGTCCCTGAGTAAAAATTCTGTGGCCCTAAGTAAAGTTTCTGTGGCCCCCTGAGTAACAATTCTCTGGCACTCAGTAACAATTCTGTCTGTCCCTGAGTAAAAATTCTGTGGCCCTAAGTAAAGTTTCTGTGGCCCTGAGTAACAATTCTCTGGCACTCCGTAACAATTCTGTCTGTCCCTGAGTAACAATTCTCTGGCACTCAGTAACAATTCTGTCTGTCCCTGAGTAAAAATTCTGTGGCCCTAAGTAAAGTTTCTGTGGCCCTGAGTAACAATTCTCTGGCACTCCGTAACAATTCTGTCCCTGAGTCAATTCTCCCCTGAGTAACAATTCTGTGGCCCTAAGTAACAATTCTTTGTCCCTAAGTAACAGTTCTGTGGCCCTGAGTAACAATTCTCTGTGTTCTGTCTGTAACAATTCTCTGGCAGTAACAATTCTGTGGCCCTAAGTAACAGTTCTGTGGCCTCTCAGTAACAGTTCTGTGTCTGTGCGAGTAACAATTCTGTGTCTGTGCGAGTAACAATTCTGTGGCCCTAAGTAACAATTCTGTGGCCTTCAGTAACAATTCTGTGTCTGTGCGAGTAACAATTCTGTGTCTGTGCGAGTAACAATTCTGTGGCCCTAAGTAAAGTTTCTGTGGCCCTAAGTAACAATTCTCTGGCACTCAGTAACAATTCTGTCTGTCCCTGAGTAACAATTCTCTGGCACTCAGTAACAATTCTGTCTGTCCCTGAGTAAAAATTCTGTGGCCCTAAGTAAAGTTTCTGTGGCCCTGAGTAACAATTCTCTGGCACTCTAAGTAACAATTCTGTCTGTCCCTGAGTAACAATTCTCTGGCACTCAGTAACAATTCTGTCTGTCCCTGAGTAAAAATTCTGTGGCCCTAATTAAAGTTTCTGTGGCCCTAAGTAACAATTCTCTGGCACTCAGTAACAATTCTGTCTGTCCCTGAGTAACAATTCTGGCACTCCGTAACAATTCTGTCTGTCCCTGAGTAACAATTCTCTGGCACTCAGTAACAATTCTGTCTGTCCCTGAGTAACAATTCTCTGGCACTCAGTAACAATTCTGTCTGTCCCTGAGTAAAAATTCTGTGGCCTAAGTAAAGTTTCTGTGGCCCTGAGTAACAATTCTCTGGCACTCAGTAACAATTCTGTTGTCCCTGAGTAACAATTCTCTGGCACTCAGTAACAATTCTGTCTGTCCCTGAGTAAAAATTCTGTGGCCCTAAGTAAAGTTTCTGTGGCCCTGAGTAACAATTCTCTGGCACTCCGTAACAATTCTGTCTGTCCCTGAGTATGAATTCTGTGGCCCTAACTAGCGTTTTCTTTGTCCCTAAGTAACAGTTCTGTGGCCCTGAGTAACAATTCTGTGTCTGTGCGAGTAACAATTCTGTGGCCCTAAGTAACAGTTCTGTGGCCCTCAGTAACAGTTCTGTGTCTGTGCGAGTAACAATTCTGTGTCTGTGCGAGTAACAATTCTGTGGCCCTAAGTAACAGTTCTGTGTGGCCCTAAGTAACAATTCTGTGTCTGTGCGAGTAACAATTCTGTGTCTGTGTGAGTAACAATTCTGTGTGTGGCCCTAAGTAAAGTTTCTGTGGCCCTAAGTAACAATTCTGTGGCACTCAGTAACAATTCTGTCTGTCCCTGAGTAACAATTCTCTGGCACTCAGTAAACAATTCTGTGTCTGTCCCTGAGTAAAAAAAATCTGTGGCCCTAAGTAAAGTTTCTGTGGCCCTAAGTAACAATTCTCTGGCACTCAGTAACAATTCTGTCTGTCCCTGAGTAACAATTCTCTGGCACTCAGTAACAATTCTGTCTGTCCCTGAGTAAAAATTCTGTGGCCCTAATTAAAGTTTCTGTGGCCCTAAGTAACAATTCTCTGGCACTCAGTAACAATTCTGTCTGTCCCTGAGTAACAATTCTCTGGCACTCAGTAACAATTCTGTCTGTCCCTGAGTAAAAATTCTGTGGCCCTAATAACGTTTCTGTGGCCCTAAGTAACAATTCTCTGGCACTGAGTAACAATTCTGTCTGTCCCTGAGTATGAATTCTGTGGCCCTAACTAGCGTTTCTTTGTCCCTAAATAACGATTCTGTGGCCCTCATTAACAAGTCTGTGTCCCTGAGTAATGGTTCTCTGTCCCTAAGTAACTTTTCTCTGTCCCCAATTATCGTTTCTGTGGCCCTAACTCTGTCCCTGTCCCTAGTACAGAGCGGTCTGCCTCTGTTCAATGACTGCAGGCAAATGAAGAATTCCAAAATGGCCGCTATTTATAGCTCGACCATTACACAGTGCTGGCTGGCTGGCTGCTGATTGGCTGATGCGATCACATGTAGTTGAGGAATGCATTATGGGTCAGCGCGCCTTGTCTGCGCGCCTTCCCAGACATCCCCGCTCCGTCGCCGCACACATGTCAGCCGCCATTTTCTGAAAAATTTCGATTCGCGCGTCCGAATTAGGCTATTTTTCGGATTCGGCACGAATCAAAATTTTTCCGATATTCGACTCGAATTCCACTTCGGATACTTCGATTCCACATCGTAATTAATTGTACGTGTAAAATGCACTCTCCGGCCACTTTATTAGGCACACCTTGCTAGTGCCAAGAAAATATTCCCCACACCATTACATCACCACCATTGATACAACGCAGGATGCTTTCATGTTGTTTATGCCAAATTCTGACCCTACCATCTGAATGTCACAGTAACCAGTCTGCCCATTCTCCTCTGACATCTGACATCAATA